CTGAGCTTTACTCTTGTAACAAATTTGTAATTGGAATAGATTTTGTAATTTATATCCAGAGAAGCCTCTGGAGGCATTTTTAACAAATTAATAAAGATATAAGCAAAACCTCACCTTAATTTCAAAAAAAAAAAAAAAAAAAAACAAATTCAGTTCATTTTTAAATCACGTATCAAGCTGTCTTTTATGTTGCTATCAAGTGGTAAAAAATTAATAAATTCTATATATTCTTTTTCCATTTTAGTAGCCTCTTCATTTGACTTGCTTCGACCTACGATTTTAAAGGCAAGTGCTATCAGATACCATAATGACCAATCTATTTTCCATATTCTTAAATGTTTACCTAATGTAGCCATGATGTGAAACCAACAAAGAATTGTGTTGCGAACAAAACCTTGCAATGCAAGTTTAGTAGGTCGATGTTTGTCCATCATAGCTAGTGGATACCAGTTAGATGCACATTCAAGTTGATGTCAAAATCCCTTTCCATCTGGTAAGTTAATATAATTGTATTGATGCAAGCAATTAGGATCACTACATAGAATATTTGCTTGTACAGCTATTCGTATTGTGTAATGGTTCTCTTTATCACATAGACTAAATGCTAATAGTGATCCATAACTGACTTGATCTTCAATGACTATGGCAATAACAGGGGCTTTTTCGTTGTTTAAATCATATTTTCCATCTATTCCAAAACAAAAATAACCACAATCATGGCCTTGTTTAAGCCATAGTTCATCACTTACAGTTAACTGATAATAACATTCAAAGCTATTTTATGGTGCTGAGATATCACCACGCTGATAATAAAGTATTTTTCCTTGCTCTTTCAAATGTGTAGTAACTAATTGGTCCAAGACAGTCCATGGCCCAATATTCTCTTGTAATCAAACATCATCTCGTTCAATCAATCTTTTTAGCTGTTGCTCCATGCATATATTCTTACTTGTATTATGCAGATATGTCAGATAAGTTTCACTTGTATTATTATATGAAGCTAATACTTTCATTGCAATTTCTGTTCCTGTGTTGTGATGAGCATGGCGTGCAGCAATTACTTTATCATGGGTTTGAAGACTGAGATTGATTTGTGTAGATTTTAGATCTAGTGTTATAAGAGCAGATAATTTATGTACTCCTTTTATAATTAATTGTACTGGTAGAGGGTCTTCAACATTAGAAAGCATGACCTTCGTAATAACTCTTACTCCACACTTATGCATGTCAAAGTCATTTGTAAGATTATTTTTCAGACTAAAGTTTGAGCATTCTTGCTTGCACTCACCAAGCCTACCACAAGCCCTTTTACAACTGATAGTACTATCACAAAAGAAAATCCACCATCATACTGTTAGATCTTGAGCTGTATTCTGTTTAAATTTAGATACACGTTCACGTCTTTTATCAGTAAGTTGATTATATTGTCAATTCTATTGGTCAATTTTTTTTGCCCTTTAGCTGTTTTCCATGTAAGATAATCAATAGCACCTTCGACGCATTTTAGAGTAATGAAACCAGCTTTAATACTTTCATTAACATTTAGTCGACTTTGCTTTTTAAGTTTACACTTTGATAATAAAGGTAACGAGTTGATATAGGTTTCAAGTGCATGGCCAAATGGTAAGTTAATACTTCTATCAGCATTAATACAATGTGGTAAAAGATTATTCATTTAAAACTTTATATGTTTATCATAAAAGTAAAAACTTTATAAGGCAAAACTAAGAATTTTATGAGGCAAAAAGTATGTAATAATAGGAACTTTGAGGTAAGATACATGAACTACTTTTATTTTTTGTAGTTAGGTTAAAAAAATGGACTGTTCATTCTTTTTATAGTGCATAATTATGTCATAATTGAGTAATTATTGTCACTTCTAACTTTTGCTTCTAATTCAATAATTGGAGAATTAAATTTAATTATATTATATGTCAGGGTGAAACCCGTGCAGCTAGCTAGTAAAACCTGCTTTGATCATAGGGTTTGGGTGAAATCCGCATTAGCATAGTGTGTTTTATAAGTTAATACAGATTTTACTCTCATGTGATCTGTATAGCAGATTTTACTAGCTAGCTGCATGGGTTTTATCCTGTTGTTATATTATTTAAAGTATTGTAAATAATTGTAAATCCTATTAAATAGTAGCATACATTATATATTACAGTAGATCACTGGATTGCGATTACATAAATTTAATTTACAAAACATACATAAAATTATATAGCAGCAAAGGTTCTTTATAAGAATGGGATAAGTAGTGTTTGATCAAAGAATTAATGTAAATTGCAATTTTGTATGATATATGAAATTATATGGAATTAATGTATAATTTAGAAATTAATGTGAATTATGATATCATACGAAATTATATAATAGAAATAAAGTCTTGTTACTAGCAGTTTTTGCTTTATTATGTAGTATATTTGCTTAATAAACACTGCAATAAATACAATAAAATATATTTTGCTAAATTATTTTTGAATATTTTTTTTTCTCTAGTGATGATTCCATCAGGAATAGTATTAATCCATTAAGAACGGTATGCATATCGAATTTTTTTTTTGCCCTATCAGGATCGGTACTGCCGATCCATTAGGAATAGTAGTTTTGCATTATATATGAATACTTCCAGATGGATTTTTTTAAAAATTTAAAAAAAAATTATATATATTTTTTAATATTTTCTAGATAATAAATATATAAAATTTTTATAATTAAAAAAATTAAAAACTGAGCAGACAGATCATTTTTAAATTCATATGTTATGAGAAATAATTAATTAACTTTGTATAGTCTAATAGCTGTAAATTTCATTTATGATTATTAATTGAGTTTAATTATTTATAAATTTGGAATAATAATTCAAATATTTTAAATATCTCAGTACAAATGATTTTATACACAAAGACATTCTTTGATGATTTAAATACTTTGGCATTTGTGCTTTATCCTATTAAACTAGCTATATCTATTCTTAGATCACAAGATTGTTTATTAGCTAATTGTTTTATTGATCTAGCTCATTTGGGATGGCAATTAAATAGCTTCAGAAAATGATTATCATAATTTTTACTAACAAGCAATTGCAGTATTTAATAGAAGATTCACTGAATTTAATAATAATGCATATATTTTATGTTTCTTTTTACATCTTAGATATCCAGTAAGAGTTTTTTTTTTATATAATATAATCTATTTTATTTATTGCTAAATTTATATATATTTAGATACTGTATAGGCACAAAAAATATTTTGACATATTCTTTTTGCAGTAGACAATTTCTATGAAAAAATAGGTAAAAGACCAAAAAAAAAAAAATGTTAATATTACAAATGAGAAGTTATTAATACTGTACTGCACTATTTAATATACCATTTAATGATAATAAATCTTCTACAATATGGTGGATTTCTTTTGAGAATAATTTTTTAAAAAATGAAGACCATATTTGTTAATTAGCTAATAAATTGTTTTTTTGTAACACTACATGTAGCTGAATGCAAAAGAATTTGGTCAACATTGAGATGGTATTGTGGCAAATATTATATACAGCTTTCTTTAAGTAGAATTGAAAATATGCAAAAGCTTTCTGCTTTTTATCTTGCAAACTCAAAAAAAGAATTACCATATTTTTCTTCTAATAAAGATGTTAAAAATATATATGAAGCTTTATCTAATCTAAATCTTAGTAAGGATGATGATGATCACAAAGAAGAAGAACAACTCTCTAGTGAAAAAGTACAAAATTTTGAGTTTCTAGAAGAGAAAATCTTAAAATTGAAGAATTGTTAAGTATTGATGCAGCTGATTTTATAAATAGTTTAGATAAAATAATTTTTGATACTAATTTTGAGTCTTCTAAAGAAGAAAATATTAATTATCAGAATAGTAATACTGAGAATAATGTTGATAAGGAAAATTGGAATTCTGAAAAAAAGATTGATATGATGTTAGATTAACAATATAGAATATAAATAATTTAATAATTATAGTTTAATAAATATAAATTTTTTTTGATTCATAATTAGTTGACTAAAGCATTTTTCATTAATTAATTATCTAAACAAATAAAAAATAAAAAAAGGTCCAAATAAGAATTGGCCTTTTGACCATTCTTACAGTTATTCAGTTTCTGGTCTTAAGACTAGCTCAGACTATGTTTTTTATACAGTATTTAATTAAGATTAGCATTTAATATTTATTGTATAATTTTTTAAAGCTAATTACATGTTCCTAATTTCTAAGACTTGTTAACAATATTTGATGCTTCAAGTTTATATTTTTATAATCTTTACTTGATGTAAAATTGAAACTGTGATATAAATTTTACAATATATTAAAATTAAAAAAAAGTTAAAGATCAATTATATCTTTGATAATATAAGATTTATCATTACTGAATATTATTTGTGTTAAATATTTTAGATTTCAAGATAATGAACCTTCAAATAATTAATACTGTATATGTCAGGTCCTGATATATACATTGCATCTACAATAGATAATGCAATATGTGAATGAAGGCCAAAAAATCATAATCAAACCTCTGCTATATCAAATTAATCAGAATTGTCATATTAGCAATACTTTAGTTCTTTTATCAAATTGATTCAAATACTCAAGTTCTTGAATTAATAACTTTTAAAGCTTTATTTTGATATTACTTCTAGTTTTATATTAGTTTGATTTTTAATTTGAGAATAGCAATAGTTTAATTTTAATTAATATTTTTTAACTATATGTAGTTTAATAGTTATGATATTAAATTGGTTATTATATATATAACTTTTATATCAGATTAATATCAGATTTATCAGATTTTATTGGATTTGTTTCAGATTTTCATCTTGAATTCAGAATTTAGGATTTTTATTTTAGATCACCTATTAAATCTAAAATATTTCAGAATTAAAAAACAATTTTGCTCAAAATATTACTTGCCATATAGTTCAAATAGAGTGTTAGATAGAAATTTTAATAACAAATTTATTAATAAAAAGAGTATAATTGAGATTATAAAAATTATTAGTTAAGAATTCTGCAAATCCATTGCACAAAAATTAACTAAAAAATTCGTCCGTCTAAAAATACTTATAACTATTTATTTTACTAA